CATTTACAGGAAATTGATATCTCCTCGAATCAGTTAACAGGAAATTTGCCTCAAGAACTCGGAAACCTGAAAAACCTAACGGTTTTCCAGTGTTATAACAATCAATTTTTCGGTGAATTACCTGCTGGGTTTGGAGATATGCGTCACCTTATCGGATTCTCTGTCTACAAGAACAATTTCTCCGGTGAATTTCCGGCAAATTTTGGTCGTTTTGCACCGTTGGAAAGCATAGATATATCTGAGAATCAGTTCTCCGGTGCATTTCCGAAGTTCTTATGTGGAGGGAAAAAGCTTGTATTATTTCTTGCTCTTTCCAACAATTTTTCCGGCAAGTTCCCGGATTCTTACACCGCCTGCAAATCTGTAGAGAGGGTCAGAATCAACAAAAATCGCTTATCCGGGAAAATCCCTGATGAGTTCTGGGCTCTCCCACGCGTCACCATGATTGATTTCAGCGACAATGAGTTCACCGGAGGTATATCGCCTCAAATTGGCTTATCAGTGAAGTTGAATCAGTTGGTTTTGCAGAACAATAAATTTTCCGGCCAGCTGCCTCCACAGATTGGCAAATTGGCAAACTTAGAGAGGATACTTTTGAGTAACAACAGTTTTTCTGGTGAGATTCCAGCAACAATTGGCAATCTGAAGCAGTTATCATCATTACATCTGGAGGAAAATTCTTTGACAGGATCAATCCCGGCTGAATTGGGGAATTGTGATCAACTGGTGGATTTGAATCTTGCAGGCAATAATTTAAGTGGTAATATCCCAGAATCATTGTCAGTGATGAGCTCTTTGAACTCTTTGAATCTTTCAAGAAACAGACTAACAGGTCTAATCCCAGAAAATCTGAAGAAACTAAAGCTAAGCTCAATTGATTTATCCCAAAATCAATTGACAGGAAGCATTTCGCCTGATCTTCTGACAATGGGTGGAGATAGAGCATTCGCCGGGAACATGGACCTCTGTGTTGATGAATACGAAAAATCTATAAACACTGTCTTAAGTATCTGCAACAGGAAGCATGGTGAGAAAAGATTGTTTCAAGATAAACCAGTTGTGTTCCTTGTTATCGCGGGTGTTTTGGTTATTGTCCTAGCTGGATTAGTCCTAGCTAGTTATACGAACTTCAGGCTCAGTCAAGCTATTATAGAAAGTGATTTTGAAGGGGAAAATCCAAAATGCAAGCTCTCGTCTTTCTACCAAATGGATCTTGAAGCAGAAGAAATATGTAACCTGGAAGAAAGCAATCTAATCGGAAGTGGTAGTACAGGAAAAGTATATCGCTTGTATTTGAAGAAACATCAACGAATAGTGGCTGTAAAGCAGCTATGGGGAGGAGATGGGTTGAAATCTTTGGCCTCGGAAATAGAGATTCTAGCGAAAATCAGGCATAGAAACATACTAAAGCTTTATGCCTGTTTGGTTAAAGGAGGATTGAGTTATTTGGTATTTGAGTACATGGTAAATGGTAATCTGTTTCAAGCACTTCACTCAAGGACCAAAGGCCGGAATCCAGAATTGAATTGGCACAAGAGGTATAAGATTGCTTTAGGAGCTTCAAAGGGAATTGCCTATCTGCACCATGATTGTTCTCCTCCAATCATTCACAGAGATATTAAGTCAAGCAACATTTTACTTGGTGAGGATTATGAACCGAAAATTGCAGATTTTGGGATCGCAAAGGTGGTGGAGAAGTCTGAGAGAGGATTCAATTTTAGCTATTTTGCAGGCACTCCTGGCTATATGGCTCCTGGTTAGTGAAATAACTTCACTTACGACTATTTCGAAAAAAAAAAAGAAATTCTTATTACTTTTCATGATTTTTGTTTTGGTTTTGCAGAACTGGCGTATACTCTTAAAGTCAGTGAAAAGAGTGATGTGTATAGTTTTGGTGTGGTTCTAATGGAACTTGTCACTGGTCGTAAACCTGTGGAAGAGGAGTTTGGCGAAGGAAAAGATATTGTCTACTGGGTTTCGACTCACCTTCATGATTGTCAAAGTGTCTTAAAGATCCTGGACATTGAAGTGGCATCTGAATCTGTCAAACTCAACATGATTAAAGTTTTGAAGATTGCTGTCCTTTGCACATCCAAGCTTCCTAACCTTCGCCCTACCATGAGAGATGTAGTCAAGGTGCTCATTGATTCCGATCCTAAGTCTTCGGAGAACTTAAATACAAAGGTCATTGTCTAGAATTTCTTATGCTATTACTTCATCATATGATTCTTGAGAAACTTTGAAGCAAGTCAAAGCGACAGCTTACATATCAGTTTTAGTCGACATATATTAATCAATCAAAAGATTTAGGCATATAGGATCAGATTGAATAGTTTCATTTTGTTTGGGTGTCAAGAAAATGTTTTGTTTGGGCTGTATTTGTGTATATTTTTTTAATATCAGAATGAATCTAATGTGTGAATAACTCAATTTATCTTGCTCATCTGCAATTATATATATATAGAATCGATTCAGTGATGACTTAATCTTGTAGCGATGATAAATAAATTTCGAAAAAGGATTTATTCTAGTCATATAACTGGACTTACATGGGGCATCAACCTTCACTTGTGTTTAGGGTAGATAAGTTGAAGACTCTGTGATGTTACAGAATTCTGGAGAAAACAAGGAAATTTGTTGAAGACTTTATTTTCCTGGGGTTATTACAAGAAAATTCAAATATCTGAATTTTTTTTTTTTAAGGGAAATTGACTTGATCTAACAGCCACCTTTTGGCATTTAAAAGATTAATTTATTTTCTTTTTTGACTCATAAGATTAGTTAAAATATATTGAATATTATACCTGTGTGTGGAAGATTTAAAATATTCTATTGAATGATTTAAGAAGTATATACGTCCGTGTTATATGTATACTGTATATTGAAGTTAACTCGGTCGAGTTAGAAGTTATAACTCATTGAGTTTGAATGAGCAATGCCTTCTCCATTGAAATTAGACCAGTGAAATAGAGTGAGTGAGAGTTTCAACTTTTTGAGTTTTGACCAGATACGCTGCTTCTCTTTAAAAGTTCTAAAGAACTGACCAAGTCGTCGGTCCTCAAATCCAATTTCATCAAACCGCGTTTCTCAAAATCCATCCTAACACACCCTTAAAAACTTGCTAAAGATTGCACAACAATCATCCAGATCAAGCAAAAATTACCTCTAGAAAAACCCACCTTCTCCTTTCTTAATCCCGCCATGAGAATACCAGAAACCTTGACCTGTTTCTATGGCTTCTGAAACTTTCTTCTGTTTCCTCTTTCTTCTATTCTTCTCTGTTTCTACTGTTCCGTCAGGCTTTACTCTCTCTACTGTAGCCATTTCCGAAACTTCGAACCAGACACTGGTTTGTGCGTTAAACCAGGAAACATCACTTGTCTGTTCCAGTTTTCCACAGGGAATACAGATTCCCGTCAACCCCAACGCGTCATTTTCTGCGATCGTCGCAGGAGATGGGTTCGTCTGCACGTATTCATCTTCCTCGGCTTCTTCATCTATTCATTGCTGGAGATTTTCTGCAAATGGTACTAACATGACCCACAAGCGAATCCATCAGGGTCCTCGATTAAACGAACTCGAAGCCGGAAACTCCCACATTTGTGGCCTTTTTAATGGGACAAGTCGACTAGAATGCTGGCAATGGTTGGGATTCAACTCCTCCATGGCTCCAAGCTTCTCGAACCTCGCTGTTGGTGAGAATTTCGTATGTGGGTTATTAGAAACCGGAAAGGTTAGCTGCTTGGGAGATGCTAATAGCACATCTATAGAGAATGAGCTTCGCCGGAATTACAGTGCGATTACCGCCGGATTCCGGCACGTCTGCGCCCTTAGTTTAGAGAATGATTTGGACTGTTGGGGGGCAGGCGTTAAACCAGAAGGCAAGTTCACGGCATTGGCCTTAGGAGACGACCGCAGCTGCGCGTTGACGTGGCTTGACGGAACCGTCGTCTGCTGGGGCAGCAATAATTTCAGCTTGCCGGAGAGTCTACGAACGATTCATTTCAGCAAGATTGAAGCAAAGCGCAGCGTTTTTTGCGGAGTTGCGGCGGAGAATTTCTCTCTGTACTGTTGGGGTGATAAGAGATTTGAGCCGAGTTTCATGGTTTTTGACAGAGTAATGCCAGGACCGTGTAGAAGTCAATGTCCTTGTGGTCCTTTACCTGGGTCTGGTTCCTTTTGCAGCAGTGGATTAATTTGCCGACCTTGCGAGAGGCAGATTCAGATTCCACCGGCGGTCCCCATTACGCCGCCGCCGCCGCCGCCGCCGCATCTGAAATACAAAGCCACGGTTTGGAGTAGAAAGATGGTGGCTTTCTTGGTTTTGGGGTGTATTGGGTCCTTGTTTATGCTGTTGGTCTTTGTCTTCTTTCTCATCCGGTGTTGCAAAACCAGAGGCTGCCGCATCCATGACTCTGGCCGGTTAGACCAGATTGGCACGCAACCAAACCATGGCTCGAACCAGGTACAAAACCCACAAACCCAAATACAAAACACACCTGTAGTTGTTCTTGAGAAACGGCTCAGCCAGTTAGCTAGCATGGGAAATGCAGGTCAACTCGTTGAATTTTCCTTGCAAGAACTCCTGGAAGCTACCAAAAACTTCTCTGAGGAATGCAAGATCGGGTCAGGTAGTTTTGGGTCGGTCTATCGTGCAGTGTTATTAGACGGGCTTGAAGTTGCTGTTAAACGTGCTGAGACATCAAACTCCTCTTCCCATTTTTGGAGCACCAAACGACAAGAAGATAAAAACAAAGCTTTCATTAACGAACTCGAATCCTTGTCACGAGTTAACCACAAGAATCTAGTTCGGTTACTGGGATTCTGCGAAGATAAAAATGAACTTGTTTTGGTGTATGAATACATGGAGAATGGAACTCTCCATGACCATCTCCACAAGCTTCCCAATTCACCATTGAGGTCCTGGAGCAAGCGAATAAAGATGGCACTTGACGCAGCAAGAGGAATTGAGTACCTGCACGAGTACGCAATCCCTCATGTGATCCACCGTGATATCAAGTCATCAAACATCTTACTTGATGCCATGTGGACAGCCAAGGTGTCTGATTTCGGACTCTCCTTGATGGGTCCTGGCGAGGGCGAGTCACATCTCTCCCTTCGTGCTGCCGGAACCGTCGGATACATGGACCCTGAGTATTACAGATTGCAACAGTTGACCAACAAGAGCGATGTGTATAGTTTGGGTGTGGTTTTATTAGAGTTATTATCTGGGTGTAAGGCGATTCACAAGAATGAAAATGGAGATGCAAGGAATGTTGTAGATTTTGTTGTACCATATGTTGTGCAAGATGAGATTCATAGGGTATTAGACCCAAAAGTACCACCACCTACACCATACGAAATTGAGGCAGTGGCTTATGTAGGATACTTGGCAGCAGACTGTGTTACCCTAGAAGGTAAGGAGCGACCATCCATGACTGAGATTGTAAATAGCTTAGAAAAAGCATTAACTGCTTGTTCAATGTCTCCGCCACCATCTCCCTTGCTCTCCCGAGCCACAACTCGCTCATCTGTGTAATCATCTTGAATCGATTATCAAGATTCTTGGCCACCATTTTTATACAAAAAAATTTTAAGACTAAAAATTCACAATTTCAAAGCTTGGGAAAAGCGGAAAATTTTTTGTAATCATGTACAGAAAGGTTGCTGTAAATTTTTTGGCTGGAAAATGGAGGTAGTCTTACGAGATCAATGATAATTTAATTTCAAAGTAACTGAGACTGTAAAAGAAGAAAATAAGTAACTTGCTGGTAAATAGGATTCCTTATCTCCTACATTTGCTACGATTCCGAGTGGGAGAAAACCTGCAAACTACAGTGTTGGGTTTTAGTTTGCTACGATTCATTTGAAGATGAATTATGAATAGTTATGGTCTTCTTTTCAGGGAAAAAGTCAGATTGAAATATTATATAAATTTCAATTATTAAGGTCTTGATATTAAAGAATTAATATATATTGTATTCATTGTCCCATTTGGCAAGACCTTTCCTTTGCTCATTTCAAACTTCATTTTATCATTTGATGCGTATGACTTATTTTAAATATTATTTTTTTAAACTATGATCTGGGTTCAACATAAATTTAATTATTGAATTATAAATAAATAAAAATGAATTGATCAAACTTGACCGTTGAAATTCTTTCGTTAACTTTTTTATTTAATCCACGAGTTATTATTAACTTTAATTTATTATATTTAAATTATTACCATTAACATTTTAAATTCTTTAATAATAAAAATTAAACTCTTATCGAGATACAGTTGTGTTTATAAATAAATAAATAACTGATACATTTCTTTCCTTTCAAAAAAAGAGGAAACATACATATTCAACTTTTAATTTCAATCACGGCACCAATCATTGTAAAATTACATAAATAACACCTGCTCTGAATTTAATTATTTAACAATAATGATGCTGTTTGTGTGTTTGTTTTTTTTTTTTTAAATTATGAAGTCTATGTTCGTTGGTACTCCCAATTGTAAATTTTAACAAATTGATTGAAGTCAATTTTGAAATTGACATTTATCGATCGGTCAATAATGTTTTTTTTTTTTAACGTAAAAAAAATCATTTGGTCAATATTTTGTGACATTAAGAGCTTGAAATTTTCTATATTAAACCTTATAACTGTCTCTTTTTTTAATATAAAAAAATTTTATTACGTGTCTCCAGTTAAATTAAACAGCTAAAACATATATATAATATATATATTGTATATACATATACGGTACGTTTATGTCCATATACACTTGTATATAATATCTGCATTCATTTATTGTCCAAAATTTGATTGACAAAAAAATCACGTGATTAAATTGATGATCTAAAATTTTATGATGGTACTCACAATAGTTAATGTAAAATGGTACATGTTACCTTAATGATTAGAATCTAACTTTTTGTAAGTAATACTTTCAAATTAAAATAACAAATACATAAATATAAACTTAGAAAGTACTTTCTTAAAATTTAATTTTGATACATTAAATTAATCTTAATATACATTTATTGTTAAACACAAACAGTATATAATGTAATAATATTATTGTGTTTAAACATAAATTACAAGTAAAATGCTTTAATAAATTTAGAAATAGTTTATTTTTATATATGAAATAAAATAACTTAAAAATAAAAATATTATAGATAAAATATTAAGTTTTATATGAACGTGATATAACAAGTTTGTTATTTATTTATTTTTTAAATTATTCATCAATTATATAAGTAATATTTAATGATAATTGATGTTATATTAATTATTGTAACAATCTTATATAACTTTTAAAACACTTACTGTATATCTAATATTACAATCTACAATTTTACATTATAATTCTAATATTATACATATATATTTTTTTAATTTAAAAATTAACTCAAATTTTTATTCCGTTATATTTATGCTAACTGATAAAATTTAACTAACATAAAATATTATTTTTATACAGAAACGTAATAAACTCTCTACGATTTATTCTAACTTAATTATCGTAATATTATTAATATAATAATAAATTAAATTTTTATTTTTATCGAATTAAATATTATTATGCTTATAAAATTGTGAAAAGTTTATATTTATAAAATTTTAATTATTAAACTATCATCAATACTATGAAAGCATATTATATTGTGAGTAGTGTATGTTACTTGGCTATCCAATCATTTCATCACATAATATGTAATATAATTTTTAGAATTTGCACATATTGGACAAAAGAAAAAAGAGGGTGAAACTTGTTGATGCCAACTCACTCAGGCCCACGCGTAATAAAAAGGAGCAGATGAATTGGTGTAAATTTTCACTTCTACAGGTTTCTTCTTGAGGAGAAACGAAAAACCTGCAACATAAATTATTCACAAGATGACAATTCAGTAACAGTACGATGGCACTGTAAATCAAAGTATGAAACTAGTAAGTGCCATAACTAGGGCTGTCATCAACAAGTACAAAGCTCTGCCTCTCCAATTCAGGTATTCTCACTGTTTTTTTGTTTTTTTTTTTTTTCTTCTTTTGAACGTCGTGGTTACGATTGTATCACGGTTTAGCAATCAACTGATTAACTTCGTAATTCTCCTAAGATTTGGGCGATTGGCCAATGCCTTCGTGAACCACAGACCTCTCCTTTCTTCTGCTCCGTTCATATTTTTCCTAAATTCTGTCATTTAATCTATTTCAAAACAAAAACAAAAACAAAAAAAATGTTTGTCATGTAAATAAGTTTTATGGTACTCGTCTCCTTGGCTTGTAATTCTTTGGTTATACAGTGCTGGTATGACTCAGGTGGGAAGCATGGCCGGGGGTAATGACAAGCACATAACAAGAGTGCTATTCTGTGGACCAAATTTTCCTGCCTCTCATATTTATACTAGAGAATATCTGCAGAACTACCCTTTTGTCCAGGTACTTTGCTTGATAACTGTTTGACACAATGTTTTTAGTAAGTATAGTTGCTGACTCTTCTGATTTTAAGTTTTGTTCAAAAGAGGTCATAAGGAGGAAAGTGCAGACTTCTTAAGGGTCTTTAGTGCAATGTTGCAGAATGTATCAGTTGGATAATTTGTATTCCAAGGATTAAATTTGTTTGTTTGTTTGGTTTTTTGGCAAAACTTTAATTGATGGTAAGTAAATGTCAGGAATTGCAAGATGGCTACTTATCTTCTTTTCCTTTTGTTTTAGATCGTTTGATAGACTAGTTTATAGGCAATGGTGTTGAGTTTTCCTGATTGTCTAGTCATTGATGTATGTCATGTTGAATTAGTCGATATCATGGCCTTTCGTAGTAAGCAGATTCGACTCCTTAGAGATAATCTATCTAAGCTGGAGCTTTTTGTTTTGGTTTATGTTCAAGAAATTTTAGTGACATATTGAAAAGGTTATTTTCTCTCAGCTGGTAATGAGGCTGGAGGTTGGAGAGTGGGTACCTGTAATTTTTGAAGTGCACCACGTATCGTTCGTAAATATCCGTAAATACTTATGTACTCTATAATGAGGATATAGTAGGGAGTTTTATTTGATCACATGCATCGTACATAGCAGCCTTTAACAATTTTTTAAGAAAAGTACAAGTAATTGGAATGGTGAAATGTCACTAGTTTCAATATTGGACAAATGAGTAAAGGTTTTACTTGATTTTCCTTTTGGATGATATATGTGGCACCTGTGATTCCTGTTTAGTATATTTTTTAAAGTACTTCTGTGATTATGATTCTCCTGTATGTTATATTTATTCATCTACTTGTTTTCTAATGTCTTTCTGGCTAAATTTCCTTTTATATTGCATTCAGCTGTTCCATTTTTAAAATTCTTTCAGGTTGATGACATCCCACTCTGCAATGTGCCTGAAGTTATAGAGAACTACCATATCTGTGTAGTGAAAGATATGCGGCTAGATTCAAAGGTCATTTCTCGTGCAAGTCAGATGAAGCTTATTATGCAGTTCGGCGTAGGCCTGGAAGGTTGTTGTTATGTTATAATAATTTCTCATGCTCTTAGGCATCTATACTATTCTCTGCAACTTGCGCTTAGAAATTTTATCTCCTTCCTCAATTTTGTGGTTGATGTTGCTCAATAGCTTTAAATCGTTGGATAAAGGTGTTGATGTTGGTGCTGCTACAAATTGTGGGATCAAAGTCGCCCGAATTCCAGGTGACATGACTGGAAATGCTCTATCATGTGCTGAAATGGCTATATATTTAATGTTGGGCCTTCTTCGAAAGCAGGTTGGTTTATTTTATTTAGTAATGATTGTAAGTTTAGTTCTCTAGTTTTTAAACTTTCTTCATCAGAAGTTTGAAAGAATATTTGATCTTTTGGTATCTTGATAGGGTTTTACATAGCATTATGTCTGGTCTAAGTTTTTTGAGGACCATGTTCATCTTTTAGCGGCAGATTATATGTCTATATGCACTTGAAGTGTTTAGAAGTGCCAGTAGATAATATTTCTTTGTCCCACTTGATATCTTTGCAAGTGTTTTGCATCAAATTCTGATAGGTATATCTTTTGGATGTTTGGTAAACTTTACTCTCTCTCTCTCTCTCTCTCTCTCTGTATTTTTCAAATTTACTAGAAGATATATCCTATTCAATTTTCTTGTTATGTGGCAATGAGATCTTGAAAAATGCTTAATTGGTCCTTCGTAGGATCCTGAATCTTGATTGTTAAACCCTTCAACTTTTCCTTTTGCCATCAATTGCATCACATCTGCAATATTTGACCTGAGTTGCTTGTGACGCTGTTGCAGAATGAAATGCAAATTTCTGTGAGAACCAGAAAGCTTGGAGAACCTATTGGAGAAACACTACTGGGTAAAACAGTGAGTGCCAAGTTTCTAAATGCTTGACATTTTATTCTTCCCTTCTTTGTGCCTGTCAAAATTATCACATATGTCAGTGATTCAATTATTTAGTATTTTTCCTCATTGCACCAGACTCCTGCAACCATGACATATTTGTTTCCTTGTTGAACCTTAAAAAAAATTGCATGCCTAAAAGAAAGAGGAATGATTAATTCCACAAAAAGAAAGAAGATATTTTCACAAGGTACAACTAGGAATTCCTATTTATTTTTCATTGAATTGACCATAGACCAATCTCCTTCTTGGAGAATATTGTAGACACCCATAGCTGTGAACTTCATGTTAATCCTCTCCAGAGACATGTGAGATCAAATGCATTACAATTTCATGAACGACATAATAGTTTATCATTCCTAATCTGTTAAATACTAATTTCAATCAGATCACACATCATGATACACTAGGCCCTCTAGTACACTGAAACAAATGAAAATTTGATTTTTGTAATTATGAATAATACAATCTAGATGTGTTGTTGGCTTGATATTTTGTTTAGGTGAGAACTGCAGGCAAACACAACTAATAGCTTTGATTAAAATTTCAGCATGAGTTAATCAAGAAAATATAGCAGGGGAAAAGAGAATAAAGTACAAGAATTTTTCATACTGAAAATTTGTCTTTGTTAAGTGCTTGGTTGCATGTTGCTTTGAGCATTGGATGATTCTATTATTGAGATAAAAAGGAGACATTATAATTCTTCAAGTAATCAGATATGTGAATGGGAAAACTTGGGTTTTTTTCCTCCTTTTTGGTGAAAATAAAGATTCATTAGAAATATAAACGATACAAAGCAAGAGAACAAGATGTCCTCATAGAAAATACAAAAAAAAGGAGGAATGAAGATAGGAAACAACAAAAATTGGGATCAGCATGATAAAGCAGCTGAGTTCATCTGAATATGTAGAAAGAAACACAGCTAATAGCTGGTTGAAATTTCAGCATACATTTATAAAGAAAATACCTCACTGAAAATAAGATAGTAAACTACAAGAATTATCCCGATTAAGTACGAAGTATAATAGTCTTGAATTTATCATACTGAATATTTGGTTTTGTTAAGGGTTTAGGTGAGTCTTTCTTTGAGCATGGCATGATCCTAGCATTGAAGGAAAAGTTGTAAGTCTTCAAGTAATGAGATTATGTGAATAGGAAATTTCGATTTTTTCTCGTTTTTCTGATAAAAGGGAAGATTCATTATAAAGCAGATATTTTCATAGAAGAAATAAAGATGCAAGGCCCTGTCCTTTGAATATGGCCAAAGAAAATATTAAGAAAGAGAAACAAAGAAAATCAACATCAGTATAATAAAGCAGCCCAGTCCACCTTTGAATATGGACAAAGAAATATCCCTTCTCCCCCAAAAGAAAAAAGAATCCCAGGGCCGACAAAGTTATGGTTACTAAAACTGCTCTATCCTTAATTTTTGAATGGAGTGAAATGCCAGGCAACTGTTTTAGCTGCCACATGTTTTGCAATTGAGTAATTTAGTAAAAATCAGGGTTTCTGTCCAAGGTTGCCTTTATCTACTTTGAGAAGGGATTGGATTGCATTTTGTCCATTTGTCAAAACATAATTGCAATTGTGTTTTTGTTTTGTCTTCTTGTGCTTTCCGTTTAGTCCTCTCAATTTTTTTTTGGTAATAGTTTTCTCTTTTTCTAATAATATTTATTCTTAAAAGATGAACCAGTTATTGAGTGCTAAACTTGTGTGCTCAATTGTTTTTCTGTTTATTCTATATCCATTTTCATCTCATGCATGTTGGTTTTCCTTTGCTTCTTCAGGTATTTATCATGGGCTTTGGAAATATTGGAATTGAATTGGCCAAGCGCTTGAAGCCCTTTGGTGTGAAAGTCATTGCTACAAAAAGGAGGTGGGCATCTCATTCACATGTTTCTCTTCATCTAGATGGTAGGTACTCATTATTAGAACAATAAAAAAGCAAAACTCATGAAGGTTACATCTAAATTCTTCTCAAAATGGGCAAACTGATGATTTAGTTCTTTCCTCCTAATCTCAGAAAACATTACTCAAAATGGAGCCAATGATGATTTGGTTGATGAGAAGGGTCATCATGAAGATATTTATGAGTTCGCCAGCAAGGCTGATATAATTGTTTGTTGCTTGAGGTTAGAAAAAGAAACAGTAAGGATCTAATTTGCCTTCACTTTCAACTATCTGCTCTTGTGAAAGATTACTTTCCTGCTCATTTTTCATTGGCATAAGCATTTTCAAGGTCTAGGTATCTCCTTTGCCCTTTCTGTTTTAGGAAGATAACAAACATTCAAATATTTAGAGGAAAATGCAAAAGAACCTTTTACGGCAAAAAAAAAAGGAAACGAAAAAAAACAATCGAAGGAAAAAGAGAAAGGGGAGAAATAGAAAGACAGAATCAGCAAACTCAGGCAAAGAGGAGATATAGGGGATGAGAACTCCTTTAGATAATAAAACAGAAGGAACTTTTCCAGCACCGCATGATGCATACTACTGTACCGAAGAGTCTATGTTCATTTCTAGCAGCACATAATATCAAACAATGAGATTTTTGCATTATGACAGTGTTCGCTGTGGTTCCTTCTAAAGTTGTTAGGGCAGCCTGAAATGCATATGAATCTCAAGAAGATACCTTTTCTAATTCCAATTAGAATATAGAAGGAGATCCTAAAGTATACATATCTTAATACTCTTCTAAATTTGTTATGGCAGCCTGAAATGTATCTGTATCTGAAGAGTATTGTGCTCAGTTATACTCAAGCTCTATTTGTTCCACATCGGAAACTCCTTTTGTCCCCAAGCCACTTAATAATAGGATAGTAGATGATTTACTGATTCTATTTTGTTTATACATATGCACTAGTTTACAATAAGGCAAACTTCATTTCCTTTCAAACTTATGGTCCTCTGTGAAATTTCATATAGCAACATGCTCTCCTACTTATGCCCTTCATTTTCTACATAGTGTATGAAAGAGCTTAGAAGTTGGAACATAAGACTGTAGTTGGAGATTTCCGCTCAAAACCTGAGGCTTTAAGAACATATAGAATGTATTTGAAATGTTCTCTTTCAACCCTTGTACTCTCAGATACCGAGTTTTTAATAGTATTTCTGAAATAAGGTTAGATAAAGAGTTAGATTGAAATTTGATTGTTTGTGCGAATTCCCTGCCTGATTTCTTTTCTCTCTTCTGATATGGGGTGTTTCAAATTTCAGGTTGGCATTGTAAACCAGACATTTATATCTTCAATGAGAAAGGTTTGTTTTACATGCATTACTGCATTTTGCAAGAGGCCCTATAATATATTACAAGTTCTCATCTGCATGCTTTGGAAATAGGAGGTTAATATTTTATGCTTAACTAACACATTGGATTTTCTCAGGGTGCCCTTTTGATAAATATTGCTCGAGGGGGTCTCTTGGACCATGAGGCAGTTGTTCATAATCTTGAGTCTGGGCACCTGGGAGGTTTAGCTACTGATGTTGCCTGGACAGAACCATTTGATCCTGATGATCCTATTTTGAAATTATATAATGTTCTATTAACACCTCACGTGGCAGGGGTCACTGAATATGCTTACAGATCCATGGCTAAGGTATTCACCTCGAGTTTGCTGGATACTCATAACTCAAAATAACTCAATATATTCCTAATAATAATTATTTTTTCGATGCTTCGAGGAAAATGTCTTATTCTCCACAACTGTATTCATTTCATTCTACTTCTAATAATACTTCTTTTTCTACTAAAAAAGCTCATTATAGATAAGGTTTTGATTGGTTTAGTTGCTTCATAGGTTCTATAACAACCTTAGACATGTAGATGGAAATCACCTGCGTTAGGAAGTATCTGCATAGATATTCTGCCAACATAGATATCTTTGCTGTTTTAGGAAATGCTTGAATAAGTGATTGAAAACTAAAAGGGAGAGGAATAGGTTCTAAGTACTTATTAAGAACTAATATCCTTTTTTTTATAGATAGATTGAGTTCTTCATGACTTTTAGTTTTTCGG